ATTAATTATAGGATAAATAGGATATCTCTAGGATAAATGGAAATAGGATATCTCTAGGATAAATGGACATCTCTAGGATAAAAAGGATATCTCTAGGTTAAATGGCTATCTCTAGGATAAATAGGATATCTCTAGGATAAATAGGATATCTCTAGGATGAATAGGATATCTCTAGGATAAATAAGATATCCCTAGGATAAATAGGATATTTATAGGATAAATAAGATATTTACAGGATAAACAGGATAATTACAGGATAAATAGGACATTTACAGAATAAATATGATATTTACAGGATACATATAATATTTACAGGATAAATATGATATTTACAGGATAAACAGGATATTTACAGGATAAATAGGATATTTATAGGATAAATAGGATATTTATAGGATAAATAGGATATTGACAGAATAAATAGGATATTACAGGATAAATAGGATATTGACAGAATAAATAGGATATTTACAGGATAAATAGAATAATTATAGGATAAATAGGATATTTACAGGATAAATAGAATATTTACAGGATAAATAAAATATTACAGGATAAATAGGATATTTACAGGATAAACAGGATATTTATAGGATAAATAGGATATGTTTAGGATAAATAGGATAGTTACAGGATAAATAGGATATTTACAGGATAAATAGGATATTTACAGGATAAATAGGATATTTAAAGGATAATTAGGATATTCGCAGGATGAATAAGATATTTACAGAATATATAGGATATTTACAGGATAAATGGGATATTTACAGGATAAATATGATATTTACAGGATAAATAGGATATTTACAGGATAAATAGGATATTTATAGGATAAATAGGATATTTAAAGGATAATTAGGATATTTGCAGGATGAATAAGATATTTACAGAATATATAGGATATTTACAGGATAAATTGGATATTTATAGGATAAATAGGATATTTACAGGATAAATAGGATATTTATAGGATAAATAGGATATTTACAGGATGAATAGGATTTTTACAGGATAAATAGGATAATTACAGGATAAACAGTATATTTACAGGATAAATAGGATATTTATAGGATAAATAGGATATGTTTAGGATAAATATGATATTTATAGGATAATTAGGATATTTATAGGATAAATAACATATTTACAGGATAATTAGGATATTTATAGGATAAATAGGATATTTATAGGATAAATAGGTTTTTACAGGATAAACAGGATAATTACAGGATAAATAGGATATTTACAGGATAAATAGGTTTTTACAGGATAAACAGGATAATTACAGGATAAATAGGATATTTACAGGATAAATAGGACATTTACAGGATAAATAGGATATTTATAGGATAAATAGGTTTTTACAGGATAAATAGGATATTTACAGGATAAATAGGGCATTTACAGGATAAATTGAATATTTATTGGATAAATAGGATATGTAAAGGATTAATATAATATTAATTTATAAAATTAAAATCGGTTCTTTTTTGTAGTTTTTCAAGTGCTGCGGAAATCATTAATTGAAAGTATTCTGGTTAAAAAAACGTTGACAAACATTGCCCAATTGATTTACGAGCCTTTTGTTCAATTCAGTTTCAAGATTTGTTTTTAAAATAAAATTAGTTCAGTTTGGTTTTATATCCGATAAAATGGTGCAGATAAACCTGAGCTAAACTGACCGAAGAATTCATATAAAACATGCAAACAATACAATGGTGCCTATCTATCTAGAAATCTATCTATCTGTCTGTATATCTATCAATCAATTTATATAATCTATCTATCTATCAATCTATCTATCTATCAATCTATTAATATAATCTATCTATCTATCTATCAATCTATTAATATAATCTATCTATTTATCTATCTATCTATCTATCTATCTATCTATCTATCTATCTATCTATCTATTTATATAATCTATCTATCTATCTATCTATCTATCTAATTATCTATATATCTATCTATCTATCTATCTATCCATCTATCTATCTATCTATCTATCCATCTATCCATCTATCCATCTATCCATCTATCCATATATCTATCTATCTTTATGTCCATCTATCTAACTATCCATCCATCTATCTATCTATCTATCTATATATCTATCTATCCATCTATCCTTCTATCTATCTTTCCATCCATACATCTATCAATTTATGTCCATCTATCTTACTATCCATCCATAAATCTATCTATCTATCTATCTATCTTACTATCTGTATGTCCATCTATCTTACTATCCATCCATAAATCTATCTATCTATCTATCTATCTATCTATCTATCTATCTATCTATCTATCTATCTATCTATCTATCTATCTATCTATCTATCTATCTATCTATCTATCTATCTATCTATCTATCTATCTATATATCTATCTGATAATGCTGAGTTTGTCTCACACTGATACAAATCTTGATACTCAGCACTCTTAGTCTCATTCCTTCCTACATCTATCTATCCATCTATCTATCCATCTATCTATCCATCTATATATCCCTCTATCTTTCTATCTATCTCTCCGTCTATGTATCTATTTATCCGTCTCTATCTATCTATTTATCCGTCTATCTATCGATTTATCTATCTTTCTATTTACTCGTCTAACTATCTACCCACATATTCATTTTTACGTCTATCATATTGATCATATTGGTCCATCTTTTGTAAAAATAAACCACATTTCACCATCATCGATGATTTAGTTCAATCATAAAATATGTGTTGATAATATAAGTAAATTTTTAATAGGAGAAAAACAATTGTGATTAATATTATAAAAATCTTTTCAAAATTTAGATTTTATGTTACACTGAAGATCGGTCATACAAGAAAAAAAACGCTACACTCATAAACGCTACATGGATGAAACGCTACCACATAAAACGCTACCACATAAAACGCTACACTCATAAAACGCTACACTCATAAAACACTACCAGATAAAACGCTAGTAAAGGAAAAACGCTACTCTATCAAAATATTATAATATTAAGAGTTAATTTTTGATTAGCTTATAAATTATCTTTTTAAGATTATTTCTCAAGTTTGCCAGAGGGGGAAGGGTTTCAGATCCGTACTGCATGCAGTATTTAAATTGTAGTTAGGGTGAGTTGGATAGGGATTAAATTCATCTGAAATATTATTTCAATACTGAATCAGTTTTATCTTAACCAGCATCATGATATATTATATCTTAATTATAATTTTGCAATTATCCAGGGTTTTCTCAATTGCATCTTTCATGCATTATTTGATTAGATATCAAGATCAGGTTTAGGACATCTCAATTTTGCATCTCATTTAGATATTCATTCGTCAATAGTTCTCAACCTAATTGAAATAATTGAGAAAGAAAGGGCAGAGGATAAAGATACTTTTGACTGGTTAGAAATTATGTGAAATAATTGAGTACATGGAATTGAAATTTGTTTATAAATCTTTTCAAATTTAGTATGACGAGACATCATTTACATTGCCTTCGGCACATTTTATAAAGCAGCATTGTCTGATAAGATAAGATCAGATTTAAGAGAGACAGATTCTGATAAGATAAGATCAGATTTAAGAGAGACAGATTCTGATAAGATAAGATCAGATTTAAGAGAGACAGATTCTGATAAGATGAGATCAGATTTAAGAGAGACAGATTCTGATAAGATAAGATCAGATTTAAGAGAGACAGATTCTGATAAGATGAGATCAGATTTAAGAGAGACAGATTCTGATAAGATGAGATCAGATTTAAGAGAGACAGATTCTGATAAGATAAGATCAGATTTAAGAGAGACAGATTCTGACCCCCTGAAACTTTTCTGGTATGAAGACCATAAGTTTTCTATTTGGCATTTATATCAATCAATTGTGACTCTGAAGGATTCTTTAATTCTCAAACATTATTGAAAACAAAATTTATTCTCTTCGTTCTCTCACCCTAGTCATAGTTTAACCACAAGAAGGACTCTGGGCACGGGCAGCCGTAGTACATTTGAATTTCCGAGCCGGGTCAACCTTTCCGGTCTGAGTTTGTACTGTACCGCACGGACATTGGCTTAATCAATGAATGTAAGGCAAGGAAAGTCATTTCAGTGGTGTACGAATTTTTTGTACTGCAGTGTACTGTCTTTGGGCTCTAATGTAAACACAAGAGTAGGGGTGTCACAGCCTGACATGGGATCCATCTTTCAAATAAAAAATCAATGATATATTCTGGTCATAGGAATTTATAACATAAATTATCAAAATTAAAAAAAAAAAACTTTAAGTTATTCAATTGTAATATTTTACTAAGGTTGTGGAAAAACTTCTGCATTTTTAATTATTTAACAATGAGACCCAATACATGTACAAATTGGATCACACCGTCTTCTTTGTTGAAAAAAATTTCAAGAACAGAAATATAAAATATATTATGGTCGTTTTTGGGGAAGGAATGGTTCAATTCGTTCAATACTTAAAAGGAAAGCATCGATGAAAATGATTGTTTTAGGCTTCACTTTACGGTGGTAGGCGATTTTATCAATATCATGAAGACAACTTTCGATTTTAATTTTGATTTATATCCAGCTTTTAAACAGCATGGATACACAAAAACAAAAAATTAAACAAGTTTAACTAAAGTTTCTAGTAGCTTTGTTCTTCAAAAAAGCTTCTTAACAATACAAACTTAAATAAAAAGTAGTCTATAGAGGACGTGAGTCAGACTCTAATAAAACGCATAAATAACTTCCAGTATATATATTTCTTATAACTTATTACTAGAGGGTTCAGAACTAGAGTCAATATCGATATCGCACGTGTAGGCTGTAGAGATGATATCAGTACTAATGCCCCGTATCCGTTCTATCTCATTCTGTTGAATCTTGTGGAACTAGTTTAACGCGGCCAGGCATCGTCTTCCACAAGTCTTTATTTTATTAATATAATCGCCTACCAACATATAGTGATACTATACTGAAGAAAATAAAACAATGAAGGCATTACATTTAGACAAATTTATTCAAAAAATAAACTCAGCTTTTTGCTTCAAATTTCTTACACAATTGGTTTTGTGTTTTTCCTTGAGCTGAGAGTTCAAAACTCTTAAACGTTGAAAAAAGCGTATTTTAACAAAAAGGTCCACTACGAGTTTTGGCCAGTTCTGGTCTATCTTCAGAATGGCCTCTGTAGTTCTCCCCATAGGATCTGGTTGCCTACATATATTTTCACCGTGTAACCTGACAAAAACTTCTTCATAATGGTGAATACTTTTCACAAGCTCCTTGCTTGGGGAATACAGTGATCCCCGGTTTTAAGATTAATCCAGCTACTGGTTGTGGTTTCAGATATGAGGCCTTCAACTTTGTTACACAATTTCTTGGCAATATATTACTTTGATCCATCTTTCCTTCAGCCTTGTAGGAATCCTGTGGAAGGATTCCCCATATAAATCAGGAATACAGTTCTTTACAGCACATACCCTCTTGATATTTATTGGCTTCCTTTGCTCTGTAATTAGTGGAATATTAATTGTAAAAAAGGGTGAAGGAAAATCATTTATGAGGATATATTATGCATTAGACACAAAATGTAATCAAGTATACAATGAGTGTATTAGACACAAAATGTATTTGAATATACAATTAATGTATTAGACACAAAATGTATTTAAATATACAATGAATCTATTATACACAAAATGTATTCAAATATACAATGAATTTACTAGACAGAAAATGTATTTAAATATACAATGCATCTATTAAACACAAAACGTATTTAAATATGCAATGAATGTATTAGACAGAAAATATATTTAAATATACAATTGAATCTATTAAGACAGAAAATGTATTCAAATATGCAATGAATCTATCAGACACAAAATGTATTCAAATATGCAATGAGTGTATTAGACACAAAATGTATTCAAATAAACAATGAATGTATTAGACACAAAATGTATTTAAATATATAATGCATCTATTAGACACAAAATGTATTTAAATATGCAATGAATGTATTAGACAGAAAATGTATTTAAATATACAATGAATCTGTTAGACACAAAATGTATTCAAATATGCAATGAGTGTATTAGACACAAAATGTATTCAAATAAACAATGAATGTATTAGGCACAAAATGTATTGAAATATATAATAGATGTAAGAGACAAATGTATTGAAGTATATAATGAATGTAAGAGACAAATGTATTTAAATATATAATGAATGTAAGAGACAAATGTATTCAAATATATAATGAATGTAAGAGACAAATGTATTCAAATATATAATAAATGTAAGAGACAAATTGAAATAAATGTAATAGACAAATGTATTAAAATAAATGTAATAGACAAATGTATTTAAATATATAATGAATGTAATGGACAAATGTATTGAAATAAATAATGAATGTAAGAGACAAATGTATTGAAATAAACGTAATAGACAAATGTATTGAAATATATAATGAATGTAAGAGACAAATGTATTCAAACATATAATAAATGGAAGAGGGAGAAGTAATGATCAAAAGGCATCATTATTATAATTAAGAAAAAGCCCCAAAACCAAAGAAATTTTACAATTAAACGGAGGAGAAAACTTGAATTTGCACAGAAAAATCAAAGAATGAGATGATGAGCATGAAAATTTAAAAGATTGGACGATTGATAATTTTTTTTAATCACTTACCCTCCAAAAAAATGTTTTCACAGACAGTACTGAGGAGAAGTAAATTCTCCATTGACCCCCCCTCCTCGAATACTGAACGAACACTGATGCATCTATTATTGTTTACAAATTCCGGTCAGAGAGAACTGGTTTCAATATGTACACAGAGTATACACAACCGCAATTGACTTTCCTTGCCTTACATTCTTGGGCTTAATTAAGTAGACAATCAACAGGACTAGCCGGTGCAACAAGGTTGACGTGGTCAGACTTTATGCTTCATATGTGTTGAATTTACTTTTACTAAAGAGGCAGAGGTGGTTGTGGCCGTGGGTTCCATAAATTCTGATATTCCTGATACCCCAGTATGTAATAGTTATTCTGTATTTTTAACGTTCAAGAAAATGCTACTAAAAAACTAAAACATGGTTTTTATGCTGATGAAAGTTTGTCTAAACAAGACAGGATCGAACTGTCATCTGTAATACAACATTCTGAAAGTTTTAATGACATTACTCATCCTGGCTACATTTCTACAATAATATGTCATCTGTGTCAAACATTGTGTTAAAAGAAAGGGTGGATACAAAAGATGTATATGCAGAAGATATATTCACATCAAATGTGCAATGTTGATAAAGTTCATGTGAGCTAACAACTTTATGTAAGTTCTTTCCATATTTTATATTTCTACAATGATATGACTATATTTGCCAATTTTATAAAAATATCTTTGCATCATATTGACAATTTTAAAAACCTTTATGAATAAATATGTAAATTAAGATATTTTTATGTTTAATTTATAAGTTTAGTTGGTTTATTCGATAAAAATGTGAAAAATAACTTATAAACATGCAAATATAAAAATGATAAGAGTAGAGTTTTTTCTTTATTATAGCGTTTTATCTATGTAGCGTTTTATGAGTTTAGCATTTTTATACTGATCCGATGATCAAAGTCTATTTATCACATATATGTTCTGATGATCAAGGTCTATTTTATCACATATATGTTCTGATGATCAAGGGTCTATTTTATCACATATATGTTCTGATGATCAAGGGTCTATTTTATCACATATATGTTCTGATGATCAAGGGTCTATTTTATCACATGATCAAGGGTCTATTTTATCACATATATGTTCTGATGATCAAGGGTTAAGTTTTATGATCCTATGATTCTATGTCCACTGTCCAGTTTGTCTCACACTGATAAGAGATCTTTATACAAACATCCCTCAGCACTTAATACTCAGTGCAGTCTCTTGGTTTCATCCTGCTCTATCTATCTAACTATCTATTTATCTATCTATCTATCAATCTATATATCTACCTATCTATTTATCTATATAAGACTCCATGGGAACGTCCTAGAGTCCTTGTTTGAACCCCTGGGAGGATCCTACAGTCCTGTATATAAAGTCCTTGTTTGAACCCCTGGGAGGATCTTACAGTCTTGTATCTTGTTTGAACATCTGGGAGGATCCTGCAGTCCTGTTTATAAAGTCCTTGTTTGAACCTCTGGGAGAATCCTACAGTCCTGTATATAAAGTCCTTGTTTAAACCTCTGGGAGTACCCTACAGTCCTGTATATAAAGTCCTTGTTTGAACCCCTGGGAGGATCTTACAGTCCTGTATACAAAGTCCTTGTTTGTACCTCTGGGAGGATCCTGCAGTCCTGTTTATAAAGTCCTTGTTTGAACCTCTGGGAGAATCCTACAGTCCTGTATATAAAGTCCTTGTTTGAACCCCTGGGAGGATCTTACAGTCCTGTATATAAAGTCCTTTTTGAACCTCTGGGAGGATCCTGCAGTCCTGTATATAAAGTCCTTTTTGAACCTCTGGGAGGATCCTGCAGTCCTGTTTATAAAGTCCTTGTTTGAACCTCTGGGAGAATCCTACAGTCCTGTTTATAAAGTCCTTGTTTAAACCTCTGGGAGGATCCTACAGTCCTGTAAATAAAGTTCTTGTTTGAACCTCTGAGAGGATCCTACAGTCCTGTATATAAAGTCCTTGTTTGAACCTCTGGGAGGATCCTACAGTGCTGTATATAAAGTCCTTGTTTGAACCTCTGGGAGGATCCTACAGTCCTGTAAATAAAGTCGTTGTTTAAACCTATGGGAGGATCCTAAAGTCCTGTAAATAAAGTCCTTGTTTGAACCTCTGGGAGGATCCTACAGTCCTAGTTTGAACCTCTGGGAGGATCCTACAGTCCTGTAAATAAAGTCCTTGTTTTGAATCTCTGGGAGAATCCTACAGTCTTGTAAATAAAATCCTTGTTTGAACCTCTGGGAGGATCCTACAGTCCTGTAAATAAAGTCCTTGTTTGAACCCCTGGGAACAATCGGTTTGATGATGAATAATCACTTTATTATTATATTATTTGTATGTTTTAATTCTATCTAATTCATCTTTATTTTTAATATCATTGGTTGGTAACTTGGTAATATTTGTATGTTTTGATTCTATCTAATTCATCTTGATTTATAATATCATTGGTTGGTAACTTGGTAATATTTGTATGTTTTGATTCTATCTAATTCATCTTGATTTATAATATCAGTGAATGGTAATATATGTATGTTTTGATTCTATCTAATTCATCTTTATTTACAATATCAGTGAATGGTAATATTTGTATGTTTGATTCTATCTAATTCATCTTGATTTCTAATATCATTGAACGGTAATATTTGTTGGCTATTATTCATCTTATTTATCCTTTATCATTGGTTGGTAATATTTGTATGTTATGATTCTACAGGGTGTCCCACGAAACATGACAATTGGTGAATAATTTAAGATGTCTTCTTCCATAATTACTTAAGTTGTTTAATACCAAAGAGAATTATAAGAATATTTAATGGTAGTCATATTATAGTAAAATTGATTTCAAAGTAAATTATATTTTAGTAAAAGATTTTATTGAACGAAAAACGTCATGTCATGTTTCGTGGGACACCCTGTATCTAATTCTCCCACCGACATCATTATCAGATAGATCAAATATTTGTAATGTCTAAATAATCGATTCTGACAGTTCATCATTTGGAACACGAAAATAAAGACACATTCAGACATTCGCACAGACGAGAGGAAATCTGTCTAAAAGACGCTGGACAGACCTTTATTGATTAGAAATACTTGTCAGGATTAAGATTGTTCATTCCGTTGAAAGATATTTATGGGTTTAAGTCTGCAGATCCCAATCATTATTAGTCACACCTAATCTAATCAGTCCAGTACACAGGGATCAGCCGTCTCTACACTATGCGTTAAGGTCTCTTTTCTGCTTTCTACAGTCTACACTATGCGTTAAGGTATCTTTTCTGATGTCTCTACATTGTGCGTTAAAGTCTCTTCCAACCAACACTATGCGTTAAGGATTCGTTTCGAATCTACCATCAGTTTATTTCTTGTTTAAGTTCCAAAATAGCATGTGTATATTCAATCTTCTGCGTAATTTTTCAATCATTCTATTTCCTTTTTTAATCTTATTTTTTTTATTAAATTAGCCGTAATTTCATGTAATGTGTCTTTTTTATATTATTATCAGCAAATGTCGGATGTGCTTGTCGTTTTTTTTTTCCTTGTCGAACAATGCATTTATAAACGTTTGGTCTCTAGTTTTCTATCTATAAAAGAGAGCCAACTAAATCTAACATATTTAGAGAATAATGAGCCCTGAAGACCACCCTATTTTCATCACTTTGAAGGTTAATGGATGGGAGATAAATCGTCCTTTCCCCATTCTGACCCCTTAGACCCTACCCCCGGTTATTTTGCCCTCCCCCATATTAGAGTTGACAGATAATTTCCTTTATTATTCAAATATCTTCATATTATTTATCATAAATCTTTTTGACAGGCTAATCCTGGAATACAAGGTGCATAGTGTACATTATGACGTGTAGATTTTGATTCCATTTTCTATTCCTCATTCTGTCTTGTTCCTCTTCCTTCAAATTTGCTCAGTCCTTCCAATCTTCTGTTTTTATTCTCAAATCCATCATTCTCTTCCCCGCAATCCCAGCCTTCTACAAACTTCTTTCCTCTCAAAAATGCTTCCCCTCTTTCACTTTCCAACGATTCCTGCCACCTCTCAAACTCCTTACTCCCCAAAATCAGTTTCTCTTTCACTTTCCACCAATCCCTGCCTCCTTCCCTTTCTTGAATTACCACTAATCTTCGTTCTCATATACTTCCCCCTTTTCCCACACTTCCACACCCTTCTTTTACCTTCCTTTATTGTTCCTGTCCATCCGTTCCTCCTTCACCTTATCCTTCTCATAAACCTTCTCTCTCACTCCCCTCCAAATTGATATTTTGGGTACTTTCCCAAGTGGCAATTAATCCCAAATGTGCAATGACTCGAGTGGCAACTTCCCAAGTATGTTTAGCAACAGCGTTCGGCCTCCGAGCCTCTTGTAGTCGCATCGCTCGGCCCCCTGTTGCAGCAAGTCCCATTTTAACCTTTGGAAGTTGTAACGTGGAAAATTGCACATTTGGGAAGTTGCCACTTGTGAAATTTTCACTTGGAAAAGTCACCTGGGGAAAAGGCCTTTGTTAAATTACCGAACACATTCTTTTCCTTCGTCTTGTTTCCCGTTTCTATTTTCTCTCCCCCTTTCTCCGTCCTTGTCAGTCTCGTTGTCAATCTCTCTTTATGATTGAACGTAGATAAATCTATCTATTTTCCCATACATGTTTTCTATAGATAATCCTATCAATATAATTCCCATCCTTGTTTCACCAAATCGGATAAAAACTCACACACTGATAAACCTTAAAGTAAGTTCTCTGTCAAGAACGACTTTAGAAATCAACGGATTTAATTCAACGCTTAAAACAATGTTAATATTAATATGTTCGTTTTTCTACAGTGAAAACCTGAAAACTCTAGGGCGGGAAGACGACTTTTAGACTCAAGTAATGACTTTAAATAATTCAATGCACACGAGACACAGCATTTGTGCAGTGCAAATAGACTCATTTCACTAAGTAATTGATTTGATAAGTCACTAAAAACTACTCGTTTTGTAAAAACATCAAATACACTTAAGAATTGGTATAATATCGTCTTTTTTTCCCTCAGTTTCTGGTTCT